GCCTATATATATATACACTATATATCTAACATATAATATATATATATAATTTAGAGTAGAAATTGCCGTCCTTACAGTGAAGCGAGTTAATAGCTGAACAATTATGGAACACATTCTCTGAACTCTATGTTCCATGGTTCAGTTTAGGACTCCCGAATCCCCGCTGATTGTGGTGAAATGACATCAGTCTATATAGCTTGTCTTCTGTTTGATTGCTTTGGATATCTTCAACCCGGAGAATTATGGACTGCTGGAATAATAAACGCTTCCAATGCTTCGCTGAATCAGCGGTACGTTAGTGAAATATACGGTCCGTGACCAGCCTTGGTAAAATATTTCCATGTAGTTACAGGTACATTATATTAAACGGTAACTTACCTTCGTTCGAACCGATGTGGACACTGCTTTGAGAGTGGGAGTGCATGGAACTTTCTGGAAGGGACCTAGGCGAGTACACGGAGCCTGAGAAGTCGTTCGGTCGAGAAACCGTCGAATCAGTACCAACAGGGTGTTGGCGGTTATGGGGCAAAGTACTGGCAGCACTTTTGCTTCTTAGTACACCGGTGGTTCTAATAAATATTGGTAGCCTTTCGGCAGTTACTGACCGTACATAGGTTATCGGCTGTCGACTAGCAGGTGACCCGGAGATGCTGGAACTTGTAATCGGAGACTCATCACTTTTCCGAGAAGGTGATGTGGGAGATTGAACTGTGTAGTCATTCATGGGCTTTACTTCGTCACTGTGGAATCGAGCGTGCATTGGACGCCTATCGTCTGGGTGCGTGTGCTTCAAAGTCATTGACAAAGGATGGAGACGTTCTGTACTCAGTGGTGAGGTTTCAGTCCTGCTGGCATGACGGCCTTTCGCATCCAGTTGTGAACGTGGTTTGGATGGTGACACTGGTGTCTCGTCCTGTAAAACAGGTGACGTGGTTGTGGACGATGTGATCCTTGTTGTTGAGGTTCTCACAGTTCGCTTGCTTCTTAGACTATTCTTGTTCAGTTTGGCTATCTCGTTGAACTGTTGTGCTATGCTCTCTGGGATACTTCCAGCTTTGCTCAGATTGTCACTGAACAAAGTTGGTTTCGATGCAAATAACCCACTGTCTGCTGAAGTGTTGGATGAGTCTGTGACACGAGATTGCTGAAGCTTGCCTACCTCCAACTGTGAATCGCTTTCACTCGCCTGTGATAAGGACCGACCTAGCTCGCGCAAAAGTGGATCAGAAAAACCTTCGGTTGTCAGTTCACACAGGGACGCTAGGTCACGATTGGCACCATCACCCGAGCGCATCGCTGCGCCACCAATTGCTAAAGGTAAATAGTAAATCTGATCACCGCTTCCCTCGTCTTTCTTTTCTGGCAATTCATCTTCCAAGATGATTTGAAAGACCTGTTCTTTCGATGGCGACTCATCGCTTTTCGAATCAGCCTGTTGGCTTTCAATTTTAATGGTTTCAGTAGGCTCACTCTGTACACCAGAGCTTGACGTTTTATTCGATCTAGTTTCGGATATATCACCCGGGTTCTTGAGGATAGTTGTCAGCAAAACTTCGGGTTCGGTCGCTCCAATGCCTGCATCGGATTCAACGTTGGGCCCGAGAGACGAGTTCCTTGCCGGATCAGACGCTGGGAATTCTAATTCTCCTGTTTCACTCACATCCATGGTCCGGTCTTCTGTGACGGCACAACCCTTGCACAATTCATCAATTGTTGTTCTGTCAGAAACCCTTTTATCCCAACTTCGTTGCTGGTTCGTTTGAAGGGTCTCAATATCGGTCATCGGCTGTCACACTTGAAACCAAATACACATAGGTCACTTGATACCATTCCATAATTAGGAAGCGAAAAATTGTTCATTTCTTTTGTGCTTGTGAAGAAGTATCTATCCTGATATTAAAACACGTTCTGTTCACAAATTATACAATGATTTGTTCACACTAACGTTGTCTGACGGACAGAAGACGAGCGAGGTTACGATCTTTGCACGAGGCGAGGTATGCACAGGACACGATAGCACATGAAACATGTGTGCCTGTTTACTTGAAGTCCTACCGACCGTAACCAGGGCTAAACTGACCGCGGCGCA